CCTTCTTCCCCTCCTTCCCCTTAAAGACCCTATGCCTGGCCAACAACTGCGAGATGATGAAGTGCCCCACGTCCTCATCCGCCCAGTACGTCAAGTGGCTCGCGATGCTCTGGTAGATGTTTATGTCAAACGCCTTCATGACTGTTAGCAGTATTCTTCCCAAAAGCCCCCCTGGCGTCTTCAGAACACGTAACGAAAGAGTACCTACGCCTTCTTGGATGTTATAGTCCACACGGCCGTTCCCATTGAGTGCCCTTACTTTAGCCTCTTCCCTCCTCAGCCGCCTGCTCTTTTCCTCTAATTCTTGCCACTCGAGCGACTCTCTGGTGTCCCTCGCGTCTTCACTTGTTTGGCTTCTTGTGCGTTTGTGGAAGCCTGAGAAGAGGGTCTCGATCTCTGTGTCGATGAGGGTAAGGGGATGTTCGCCAACTTCTCCGGCCGTGATAGGGTCTTCGCCTAGCCGACGCTTCCGCTCATCAACGATGAACGCGGGGTCCGGTTCTTTACCTGATGTAGGAATAACGCCGCCAGCTGTGATGTTTGTCCCGGCGCCGATCGACAAGGGGCGTGAGGATTGTGCTTGCGCGGTGTTGAGTTTGACGGCGTCTTCGCCTGTGATTCCGAGGCTGCGGTTGATGAGGCTGGAGGCGATGCCTGAGCTCAAGCTCGTCCACAGTCCTGACACGCTCTGGCCAACGCGCGCGCCGATGCCGGTCAGTCCGTGGCCTACTGGAGCGCCGAAGATACCTTTCTTGGTGTAGGGGAGGGGTTGGGGTTTTAGCGCAGACATTGCCGGAGAAATGAGAGGTTCGATGCGGTAGGAGATGGGATCAGTGGGATGGAAGATGTTGAAGAGCTGATTGCACTTCGGACGACTGGTCGTAATCTCGAATGCCTTTGATTTGCCAGTTGGCGAGACGAACGGGTCATCGTAGCCCTCACCCGGAGTTTCGGCGGGGGAATGCGATGCGGATGGTTGACGAGCCGCAATAGTTCGCCCTTTCAGCATCTGGAAAAGGCCAAGAGGAGACCCGAGGGCGTAGAAATCCTCAACGGGGAAGTCCAGTTTCATGTGGTCGTCGGTAGCACGGCGGTGCTTGTGATTTTGGGAGTGGGAAGGGGTATCGTCTTTCTGGTGACAGAGGATATCAAAGAGAATGGCGGAACCGAGGGAGTGGCCCACCAGGCTTACCTTTCCGTTGAAGGAGGGGTTGCGTTCGCGGAAGAGACGATAGATGCGATTGCATTCTTGAAGCACGATGCGAGAGATATGCCCTTTGTATGCGGGGCTTTGATACAGGAGGATGTCGAGGGCAAGGTCAGTAATGAGGTTGCGGACGGTGGGAACACCTTCGATGGTGATGTCTTCAAGGTTTGGGTAATCCTGGTCATCAAAATCGAGATCACCGAGGTCGTGTTCTTTGCGATTGTGCTTCAGGCTCTGCTTAGGGAAGTCGAGGAGATGTCTCCAGCAGATTGGGAGGACTTGAATGCGACAATTCTTTGGCAGCCTGTCGACTTCAGCGTTGAGAGCTTGAAGGTCGGTAGAGTTGGCGTAGACGCCTTTGAGGGATTTCCTCAGAGTGTTAACGTCGTGGACAAAGTTGACACTCTCCAAACGCATCCCAAGACGTTGTCCAATACCATGGGTAACGAGAAGCAGATGCTCAATGTCACGTCTTTGCTCTTCGCCCGACTGGTCCTGGTAGTCATCACGGATTTCCTTCTCATCTCGTTTCCGGATTTCTTCCTCTTGCTTGGCAGGATCTTCCGGTTGCGATGACGAAACTAGAGACGACATATGTCTCGCGAGGGTCTTTGTGCGGGCTTCTGAAGGAGACTGTGCGGGGTCGTCTTCCTCTGCGTCCGAAACATCAGTGTCGACCTTGACTTCGGGTTTGCGTTCGGTGTTCGGCTCGGATGCATCATCGGACGTTGAGCTAGACGTTCCCGGTCGGTCGTCGTCTCTGCTCTTCTTGTTCATGCTAGAAGAACCGCGAGTGAGTTTGACGCCCGCGAAATGTCCGCCGCCGGCGAATCTCTGGTAGACGGTGCTACTCATCCTTGAAAGGAAATCATCTGTCAAAAGCCACGCTGTCGTCGCGTTCTGATAGGTCACAACCGAGTTCATGTGTGTCCCAAAAAGTCGATGGGCTTTCATTTGATCATGAGGTGGTGATGATTCGTCTCCAGTAGCATCACTCGCGGCGTACGGCGACTCAGCTTTCAGGTTGTCGGAGGAGGATTTTGGGGTTATCGGATTCGACCTAGACTCATTGAGGGCCTTTCGGTAATCGTCTCCAGGAGCAGCTCTCAATGACTGTGGACGTGAACGTGGCTGCGATACCGAGCGCTTCTCTGACTGGGGAAACTTCCATGGCCTGAGCTTGAGATAACCTTCTTCAAGTTGAGTTGCAAGATTCTCGTCGCATGGGAGTCCAGTATTGTCTGTGAAAATGTTAGCAACGCGCTTCAATTCAGGTTTCAAGCTAAACTCACCATAGAACCAAGTCCCACGTCGCACCTCATATACCGGACCCAGCCAATATGCCGGACCCAACTCTCTCGCCTCGACATCAACGTCAAAGAGGAAGTCTTCATTCACCGGTACTTTCACCCTTCCATCCTTATCTGAGGATTCCTGATGCTCCCTCGGTCGAGGACGTGGACTCCCTGGAATATTCAGCGCCCTCTGATCCGCAATATCGACCTCGTCCGCCAACTTCTGGAATGCCACTTCGATTGCCCTCGAGTCGCCCGGGGAGAACTGCGCCCATTTCTTTGGTGCCGGAGGCTTTTCGTCGGAGGGTAAAGGCGTCTTGGTAGCTAGTGGTTTACGCTTGGGAATCTGCAACACCGCAATATCAGCATTGGCACTTCCAGATACCTTCAAAATCTCTCAGCCAAGCACGGTGTATACTGACATCAATAGCATGATACCACTGCACAGCCAGTGCCGGACAGTCCCGCGGATAATTCCTCAGACTCAACCGATGCCGCCGACTGATGGTATGATCGCCTCCCCTCTGCGGCCCTCCCATGGCCTCGGACGCATTCGACGCCTCGCTCTCTCTGGGCTCCCGCGGACTCGGCGGCGCTTTCGGCGTATTGCTGCGCGAGGTCCAGGGCGAGAAAGCCCCGATGCCTGCAGAGAGGTAGCCCTTGTTCTCGGGCGTCGACATGCTCGCGGTGGGCGGGTCGCCCGTGTCGTTGGTGTTCAGCAGCCAGCGGGCGGACTGTGGGAGGAGTTGCTGGGCAGCGGCGCGTGTTTTGGGGTCGAGGTAAGGGGTGCGGAGGGCGTCGCGGAGGAGTGTGAGGAGGTGGGCGTGGCGGGGAATTGTGGCGAGAGGCGGAGGGTATCGACAGTAGAAGAAATGGAGAGCGTGGAGGTCAAACTGGGGAAGGCTAGGAAGAATGAGTGACGATAGTTAGAGAGTGTTGACGGCGGTGTTGCAGATGGCGGGACTGGTGGGATTGGGGTCGCGTCTGGCATGTGCTTGCATCAAGCTTCAGTTCCCGCTGACGTCGGCCTTGGGCTAGGAAGGGCCCCTTGGCCGGTCATGAGCGTCTTTCAACTACATCACATCCATATCATGCACCGTCGAAGCTTGATTTGGAGCTACAGAGGGATGCAAATCGACTAGCCTTCCAAAAAAAATTGTTTAATTCCTTGTCCAACCGCGATTTTGACGAGGCGACTTCATGCACAAATCACGTGTTAGGAACGTGACCTGGGCATTAAATGCAGTAGGCAAGTCCTTATAGCTATGGACCAACATTCTAGTAGGTGTCTAGACTCCTTCGGACTCCTTCACACTGAGAAATTATCTTGAATTCATATCTGCAATAGGCCATCCGTACTGTTTGCGAGCTCCGACTCGGCGGCCTGTGCGTCACCATCAAGCTTCACCTCCGCTGAGAACCTCCACTCCCTCACCGTCACCCCATCAATTCCATCTGTCCACACCTCGCGCCTGATCTTAGACCGCCTCTACCGTCGAATGTAATCGGCCCTTGTAGCTCGCCTACCTCCTCCCGCGCTTCTTTCGGCCCCATCCCCCTTGAAGCTCCAGAACACGAAAGCCCGTGAGCGCAGGGAAGCATCGCGGAATCAAGGAGGATGGAGAGCGAAGGCGGCAGCGGCGGTGTTCCTCTCCCACTGGGAAGCTGGTGAGGTGAGTGATGTTTCCATGTTAGCTTGCTTCACCATCAGCGCGCCAGTACTCTGAGGTGCCTTGATTCTTCACGTTTATTCCTGTTACCTCAACTTATAGAATCTCAATTGTGCGTAAACTTCAAAGTCGCTTTGCCTCTCTCAACTGAAATTCAACGTCTACTTCTTATCGTTTACGATTCATATTATGCCTTCGTGGACCACACCAAAGAAGAGAAATAGTGCCCCAGACATTGAGGCTCCATCACTTAGACGACTGATCTTCAACAGCTGCGACCGAATTTTGCGCCGTCTTTTGCTCGTCGCGCCAGTTACCCCGCCCCTCCGTGCTCCAAGGCTCATCTTTTGGTGTTTCTCCTAGCCATCGAGCCATGGAGTATTTTTCCGCGCTTTTAGTCGAGCTCTTCTGCCATTAGCACGCTGTGTCAGCGCAAGGTGTCGAAGGATACAAGGACCACGAACCGGGCCTTGTTCTTCAGGAGAAGAACTGACTACTGCGGCTCCTGGAGGACCGGTAGCCTCTTTGGTGCGCTTTTCTTGTGCCATGACTTGAACTGGTGGTAATCAGATCGGTGTTCAAGTTAAAAAAAACCAACGTGCGAAGAGAGTTTGAGTAGGGAAGGCTGAAAGCTGCGAGTGGTGGTGAGAAGCTAATGGTCGGACACCAAGGATGAGCTGGACGCTTGCCTCTTATACTTCTGCAGCTAGGAGCCTCCCAACGTCAATCGGCTTCTTGTATTCAGAAGGCCTGTTATTTCAAAACGCTTACCATTCCCAGTATCCACGTACACCAATTGCATGCTCACGTTGAGAGATCCATCCACAAATGCGGCCGGTCAATGTATCGATGCCCTATTTTCGGTTCCAGAAAAAGCATTGGCCTAGCTAGATCGCCCATACATTCTTCCCGAAATTAGACTACAGCATCCTAGCAGGCACTCGCTATTGCAGCTGGAAGACTTCGTGGGGTGTCTGACATAGGTCCGAACCCTGCTGCGGCCGTCTTTACCGCCACAGCTCTTCGAACGCCATTAAAGAAGCGCCATGCATCAACCCCGGCTCACTAGCGTGCTGCCAATTCTTGAAAGTGTCGCTCGCCGTCCATGGTGCCACATCCTTCTACACAGCCGTGTTTGGGGTCGTCAATATTAAACATCTCCGAATGGTATGGCCGACGGCCATGTGTCTCAAGGCTTGGACTTCTAAATGGACCTGGCAAGCAGCACGATCTCAATCAATCTCAAGCTGACCGACTATTGATGCTACGCTGGGCTTACCTTCAATTGGCCCTCCTCGTGTCCCACAATGATGAAGGAGGTCACCTACGTGAGTTATTGTAATTGGATGACCCCCGTGATCGATCTATTCTACTGCGCTAATACATGTAATAAGGGACTTGAAAGGAAGAGGCGAAAGCCACGATACATGATTGGCAGGTTTCGAACAGTAAAAAGCCAGCAATTAGTGCGAAATTACGCCGCCTATCCGGCACCCGAGCTTTCGGGACTGCTGCAAGGCTGTCGAATGCGAGACTTCACTCGCTCGTATTTAGTCACATGACCACATTCCATGCGCGCTCCAACATGTATCGCAGCGTGCATGATGCGGTTGCCTTCTGGCTATTCGACATCATTCGAAGCCATCGATCTCAGAGGCTGCATCGCCGGTAGCGTAGTTTTCGAAGACTACTCACACACTTTCCAGAGACCGCACGAGGCTTTTTCGGAGATAGCCCCCACGCTTCTCGGGGGCATGCTATACATGGCTAAACCAAATGATCCAGGCACTATAACGTCGCTCTCTGGCCGTCTCGAGTCGGCTATGCAAGACTTCAGTACCCTCTTTCAAAGGATGGCGATACGCCCTTGACAAGAGAACACAAAGGCGTTGCTGTGTGTAATTTGCTTGGATAATTTAAGGTGCCCTTTATCACAAGAAGCAGGTACGACTCGCTCCAAACACGCTCACATTTTCTAATCTTGGCGACTGGCCCTAATGCCCCCATCGACAAACGCACAGCACACCCGCTACTGTCGTCTTCATCCAAATCTCTTCCAAAATCTTTAGCACAGTGCCTTTATAGTCCAAGCAGATCGTATCTTCCCCATCCGTAGCGTAGTCATCTCCGGCTTCGCATTCCTCGTCAACACTAGCGTTAATCGACGTGTACCCAGTTACGGATTGTTGTTGTAAGCTTCTTTGATCTCTCAAGCCCTTCAAATACGGATACCACTGCTTCGTATTGAGACATGAGAAGCAGCAAGGCAGCCTGGACCCAGAAACCTTGACCACAAAGTCGCGTGCTCTATCGCCAGACGATAGAGCCTGCTGGAGTATGCACGGAAGCTGAGCAGGGTGTATGTGAAAGAGACCCAAGTGGATACTAAAGATTTCTTGGAGCTCCATAATGAATATGCTGGTAGGGGAGGCGGAAGGCGCTGGGCGCTGTCGACATGGTACCGAGAAGTAAAGAAATGAACGCGATGCTAGTAATCCTCAGTAGTCGATTAGTATCCCGGATCCGTCGCCCCGGAGTATCACTATCACGGAGCCTTAACCCGCTGATGGGCAACCTTTTGGGGGTCTTTCACGAAAGACCAATCGGAATGAGTGGATCAGACAAGCAAGGTGCTCCGATTGGATTCTATCAGTACGCTGGTGACAACCTCCCGGCAAAGCCTCCATCCATCAATTGGCGCGCCATACAGTCGAAGATGTCGTCATCAGTAGGAGTGTTTAATGCTGAGGATATCCACAAAGAAACGGACAGTAAGGCATATGCTATGGAGGAGGCGGTGGAGGAGGAGGCAGCGGTGGTGGTGGAGGTGGAGGAGGAGGCGGAGGCGGAGGAGGCGGAGGAGGAGGAGGCAGAATCACCGTTAGAGGTATGGCATTCATCCATGTAGGTCTTCATTCATCATGTTTTTCTTCCATCTCGTGTCCGTCTCCCGAGCTTTACTTCTACGTGACCGTCGTCCTTCTTTCCCTTCCCTCATATCAATTCAAAAAAACTACTCAGTCATATCAGGAGCTTCACCATGCGCTCATAGGCCAGTACGCCAAAAAGAAATGAATCGCAAGCGCAACATGGAGGCTTCGTTCCTTCAAGGCTTCGCGACCATCGGTCGGGGCCTTCGCGGGTTGCTCATCGATTCGGCTGCCAAAGCCCTCAGTGCTCCATGGCTCATCCTTCGGCTTCTCATCCAGCCATCGCGCCATGGAATAGCTGTTAATGTCTTTGGAGGAAACATCCGGCTATGAAGAGCTCAGTTATCCGTGAGGGAGATGGCATCAAAACACACACATACCTTTCGCTCCATTTGAGGAGTTCTGCCATTCGGCGCGGTATCAACGGGCGCGGCTGTCTCGGTGATGTTCTTTAGTTCCGTCAGGTTCAGGATCGATTGCAACAGTCGAAACATTGTTTAAGAGAGAGGCAGTGTCTGTAGTCGAGCTTGAATGAGCAAGGCCAGAGAAAACTGACGTGGTGGATAAGTTCAAGAGATGCCCACCTTCGTACGGGACACCCTGAGTCTTATGCTGCCAGCGGCACGACGGTTCGCAGCTCGCGCCTGCATTTCTGCAACCATTCGATCGGTGAGGCGATATCCCAACCCTCTCTTGCGCCAGTTGCAGTTCATGAGTTGGGCACGGCTGCCGCATGTGCCATCCACCCTGCGACCTCATGCAAAGACCTGGATGATGTGGCAGGTCGTCTGATAGTCTCTCCACCAGCCGCTGTTGAGACGCCGTCCCGACGCCCTCAATTGCTCTCCATAATCCCTTCGGTGGTGCCCTACGCCAGCCAACAAATGTTCTCCGGCTGCACGCTGTCAAAGAAGGCACCTGGACCTCACGACCCTGGCTCATGCTGCAGCAAATGCGGGATGACGATCAGATTGAAGCTGCGGGCTTCCAAATTTGGTGCGTCCAAAGGGCAAGGGCGAAGAAAGGAGAGCACACTTCGACTTTTCATAGGGGTGTGCTTGTATCCGACCTGGCCCTCCATTTGACGAGATAGGGGCTTTGCCGCCATGGAATGCTGTTATATCGAGCTGACAGCAGACGGTAGAACGGACCATTTGACACCGGGCATGTCACCTCCTGCACGATCACCAGGGATTGGCAATCCAGTGTCACCATCTCTGAGAGCATCTGCAACTCTAGCGCCGCACCCTCTAGATTTGCCTCGAAGCCCCTGCCCGAGGTGATCGCCCAAGGGCTACCCGAAAAGGTCGTGGCCACGCCAAACACCACAGATGGCCCGAGCCCACCAACGTTATCAACTTGAACGATTGATCTCGCAACCACTGATCATCAGATGTCTGTAAAACTTGGAGGTTGAATAAAAATTCCTCTAAAGGCTTCGTTCTTAGCTTTGGAGAAATTCCCTTCACTGCATGTTGAGTTACCCCTGTTCAAACAAAGATCATTATTTGCGTGGCCACGACTTTTCGGGCAGTGGCCCTTAGCCGTAGGGCTCGCGATGGGGCTGCGCGCGTGTTCGGTGGAGATGCGGGCATGGCTGATCGTCCGGCGGGGATCCCTGCAGGTGGGTGCGCGCGCTGCAGCCAAGACCGCGCGAGCTGCAGTGCGCCGAGCCGGGATGGCGCCGGGTGCGAGATGGCGCGCAGCCGAAATTGCAGGTGCTCTTGACGCTCCATGAAAGCCTCCACCTCAGTGGCCTCCACTGTTGGACCCGCGAAACGAATCAGATGCTCCTGTACGCCCCGCACACCGGCGAACAAAACCAAGGCCTCGCCTCTCAGAATCGGCAATTCCCTTGCCCTTTATGCACAAAATGCCACATCCGCGCCTCGTTATTCGTCCCTCGCATCGATCTCCTTTCTTGAATGTTTAGTGCAGGTCAGTGTAAGGCGCAGCGTCAGCGCTCACGGGCCACAGTTCCAACATAAAGGTAGCCAATCAGACCTAACGACGGTTCAGCCTTGCAGCCTGTATCCATTCACGCCAAAGAATTGACTTCCGGGATCATTCTGGGGGGTTACTGTGGTTCCCCGCACAGATCCTCGAATTACCTCCTACAGTTCTATTCTTAAGACGTGCCGAGTGTTGTATGCACCAGAAAACAATCACACATATACAGTGCTGAATGAAGTGCCAGTAAATTTTCTACGTTGCCAAACTCGTAACTCGGGAGTTTAGCCAGCTAGCTATTGGCTAGTTGATCACGTGAGGCAAATGAGTCCAAAAGCGCACTCTCCAGCATGTGGCCAGTTGCAGCCATGAAAATTGGCGTAAAGTTGAATAACCTAACTCAGAAGGAAGTATCTTGGAGCGTTCTCCTAACACCCCTACCGACGACCTCCATCGACAAAGCGGCAAGGGCAAGGAGCAGCTGCAATACGAGGTCTTGCTACCCCCGAAATCCGCCCTCGATGCCCGCTTTCGCTACGCTCCGATAACGATGTGGCCGCCGCCCGCGAACGCTTGTCCGTGTGCTGCGAGGCTGCATGGTATTCTCAACCCGCGAAGTCCACAGATCGCACTATCTCGCTTAAGAAATTCAGTCATCACTGCAGTTCCAGGGCAAATTGGAACGCGAAATCCAATCCAAATTTCGAAGACTGGGCAATTAACTCAACGGTCTCTTAGCATATTTAGGACGCGAGGCCTGGTCCAGAACCGAAGGGCTTGTTGCACTGCCGTGTGCAAACAAGAGTAGCATAGCAGAATTCCATAACACACGTGGGCGAGAAGCATGGACAAATCTTTTTCTGGTTGAAGAAACCTCAAATCGCCACCTCTATCAGCAACCTCCTTCGGCACAAGCGCGAGATTCACAAGACGTCACCTCCATTCGCGACCTATTCCGACACAAGCGGGAAGTCCACAAAATGCGAACCTCACGCAAGCAGTCCAACTATCTGATTCCCACCGAGCCCAACCCGCCTACGACCTTTAGATATCAGGTTTCCCGTCGACGTCGCTTGTGGTATTCTGGTCCTGCTTTGAATTACCTAGCCGCGCAACTGCGGTCCAGTGTTCATACTCCGGGGCTTCCGACAGCCAACGAGTCGTTGCAGATTGTTCTTCCGCGTTTCGGTTCAGGTGGCGGAGACCTTGATGAAAGCTGGTGCTTGAAGAAGCTACCGGGCTGCTGTTGGCTTCAAGATTCTGAACCGCGCGGGGATGCTCGTCAGCACTGGCAACTCGGATCGTGGATGACAGTCTTTGGCAACAAACATACGCTGGCTGTAGCTTGTGCGATTCTAGGTGACAGCGCTCTGGCCTGGATAGCGGGAGAAGACCCCGTATCCTCTTCCAAGCTCCTTTCATTGGCACCGTTCAGCGGCTTTGCGGTCATATCGTCTGATTGCAGGCTGTCAGCGCCGGGCAACAATGCCAAATCATAGGTGCCCACAAAGCAACATACCTTGGTATCCGGAAAAAAATATGAAAGAAGAGACTTCGGTGTACGGGAGCTTCTGGGACGACGAACAGATCAGATGAACACCCAGAATGCGTGGGGAGGCTGCCTTTATGCTTGGGCGAACATCTCATGAAACGCTAGCTAAGAGGCTCTTCAAAAGGAGTACTGTAGGCAAGGGTTGGGCGACGTTGATGAAGGAGTGGACCGCTGGGCAACAATACAGCTCCTCCAGAAGGACAGCGGTGAGAGATTCGCGTCGGATTGATGAGGCACTCGGGCCCATAAGAAGTTCGGGATGCTGTGACAGGTCGCCTCAGATACCTTTTCCGCCAGCCCCTTCCCCATTACGAAAACTTCACAACGTCATCTATCCCGCGTGGCACCCGCATACCCGCTAAGCACGAGTAGTGTACATTCCTGCTAAGCAAGAGTGGTGTACGTTTACTAGGTTCCATATGACAAAGAAGGCAAACACCAGAGTCGAATAGCCACGAGGGCGCGATTTCGGGATGGCGTTAGGGTGGAACTGTGGAGAAGTCGACCTCGGGTCGGCCTCGAGTCAAGCATCGATTTTGATTTGATGGAAACAGATGCATCGTCGTCCCGTGCTAAGATGCCTGCTCAAAACCGGGAGATGTGCCGCTCTAGGGCCGGGCTCCCTCGGTAGGTGCATCCTCAGCCATTGGTGTCGGCGCCCGTGCAGGTGTCGGTCAAGTTGCGCAGGTGTCGTGGGAATGCCAAGCTTGCGATCCATGCGTTGCTGCAGTGCAGGGAATTGGTATTCACGGGATATCAAGTGTTGCCACCGTGGTGAGCACATCAAGTTCGCGCACGGACCACACCCCTGGGATCTTCGTGCCCCCTTGAGAAGTCGGAGGCGACAACAGCGATTGAAGAGGGAAGAAGGCTTAACAAGCATCTCTCCTGGGGTGCCAAAGAAAGCTTTGCTTCTAACACGATAAGTCGAATTTAGGATTCGGCCTGGACGCGAAGCCCGCAATTTTGAAGTGGCCCTTTACGCTATCCATAACGGAACGCACGACGCACCCGGCTATCCCGCATTGGCGCACAGTGCTTGGACATGTTCGAGGTTTAGTTCAGGTTACCCGATCTATTCTCCTCTTTCCAGTGCTATCGGTATTGCAGCTTCACTGTCGACGTCCCCGACACAAGTCGCCAGTTTTGCTGCATTTCGCCCCGTTTTAGCGCGATTTCAGACTGCGCATCATAGCCTGAGTGCCAGCATGAAGCTATGGAGGCGTTGCGCTTGAGTAAAACGCCAATGATGATTCGACGAAAGACGGATGCATTGTCGCCCATGCTAAGTTGCTTGCTGAAAGAGTGGGGATGTGCCGCTCCGGGGTCGGGCTCCCTCGGTAGGTGCCGTCAGTCATTGGTGGTGGTCAGTCCGCGCTTCGACATGCCATCGGAGGACCCGACGGCATGTCCCATCAGTGTAACCAGTAGAAGGGTATTGCCTGCTCACACCGATCTTATGTCGAGGAGACGGGACCAAGAGAGCGTAAAATGGACAATGACAGACGGGCGGTGAAAACGAGGCGACACGGAGTAACGGCTTTCGTGGCCTACCAAGGGCATCGAGGTGCGTCTATGAAGGCTTTATTGAGAGACTAGAACCGCTTTGCATCATGCGGATGTCGTGAACAACCCGGGCTCACAACCTATCCCGGGTTGCCGTTGATCACAACGCCTTGAACGGCAGACATATTTGTGAGGGGAATGGATGGCCTTGCCCTTCAACCTTAAATTCACCGGTCCACAAAGCTCGTGCGGGGGATGTATCTGGAGCAAAATTACAAGAAGAGGTGTTGGGAACCTTGGCAAGGTATCTCTGGGCTGATCTATTTGAGGGGCGTGTCACTCACCGCCCGGCAGAATTAGAACTATTCCCCATCTACTACCTGACTTGCAGATCACGTGGATAAAAGGTCTCGGTACGCTGTGAACTGAATCACCCATTCAACCATCCCGCATCGGTGCGCAATAACAGAATGCGATCCGGGTTCACTTTGAAGAATCAGATCTGGTCTTTTCATTCCGCCAACATTGATACAACGGCTTCACGACCGAAGTCACCGACACAAGTCACCTAGTATACAGACAAGAACTACCATAAGACAAAACGTTTCACAATCTAAAGACTACCGAAAAGGTTTTCCTATGAACCGTAATCCAACCCGAGTACATTCGATATCTATACAGATCGGAGTGCCGCTAGCTACACTTCGCGAAAGCGCAGTTTAGCGACGAATCACAGCTGAAGCTATGGGCGCGAGACCACGACTGCAGCTGGATTACACCCGCCCATAACAAAGCAGTCGCTCAACGAACTCGACATCCACAATATCATAGAAAAAATCAAGCTACGGCACGACATCAATTTCGATCGCGACCTATCATTCCGGCCAAATCTGGATGGCGCAAAGGGCCACGAGAAGTTCAAGGCTTCGCATGGCCGTCCTTGACATCATTGTCCGCATTGAGTCGCCCTACAGTATTCTAGTGTTCTTCGTTTGGAGTCTCGGTACTCTAGCGGGCTAAGGTGTACGACCTAACGGCGCCCTGATCAAGCTGGCGGAGACTTTGAAGGAAGTCTACGCTTGAAGTTACAACGCTTCTAGTGCTCGGCTGCATATTTTCGTGGATGGAGGAGCCCTATTCTCAATTGAGCTGATCGTTAGCTGTCGCTTTGGGTCGCTTTGGGTTAGGATTACCCGGACAGTGTCTCCCACCACTTCATCTAGACCAGTCAGAGTCTGAGAGCCCGAGGGCACATTTTCTCCAATGGGTCCGCTCTTCTCCCCATTCGCTTTAGGCGCGTTGTTGTGGGTCATCTTGTTTTTTAGTTTAGTGACTGATTCAATGTCAGGATTGGGTACAAGTACTTCATTCAAGGAGCATACTGTAGATCAAGAACACGGCTTCTGTCTAGAACTTGATCGAGAATGTTGGAGGTAATTAATTACTGGGGCGAGAGGGCTCCATTTTATGCCTTGCACTGGTCTGCCTCACTGGACCCTGCACGCCAATACTGCTTCTTGCATTTGCTTATCTTCACACGATGGTGCAGGGGAAGAAAAGGCAACCTGGCTGAATGGCAGCGTTGTTGGCATCTCATGTGCCCCATAGCGAGATTTTCTCGTCGGGGAGCGGTATCTGCGTGTCTCAGTTACGAGGTTACCCAATCAGTCCCCAGACTCTACGCCGTGGCTACAACGCTAAATTTCGCAGTAGAAATTTAGACTGCCCGATTAGAGGCCCACTTTTAAATTTATGTATTTAGTTCGGCAAGCAGAGTTTAGCGCGCCACCGGTAAGCATTTGCCCAATCGAACCCTAACGCAGCGAATGAAGCGTCCTAACCTGCGTGCCTGCAGACCCACCATAGCAATCCTGGCGGAGTCTCGTGGGAATAGCACGTCTCAGCCTGATCCTTTCTCGATCTAGTCGTCCGACGAGGCTCCTGAGTGCTCTTCACACCTTTTAATATCGACTGCCAGCAACCCGATCCGCATATTCTGCATCGTGGTGTCTGAATTCAACCATATGATGGGCTTTGGAGACCCCGTGGACATCCCAGACAGGATTTCGGCGTAAAGAGTGTGTTAGGGCGTTGACGAACTTGTCTCTGAAAGTTGCGGGAGGCCATAAAGGCACGCATATCTGCCTAACTAAAAGTGATCACTGTGCAGTTTAAATATCACCGAGGTTAGGCAAGAGAATCAAATTCCGTTCCAGTAGAAGGTATAGAAGTAGTAAAGTTCAGGAAACTGACACCGCAGTTCATGTACGTTCGCCACGACTAAAATTATTCCAGTTCTCCTGCTCCGCCGTTTCATGAAGCCATCGAGTCATCGAATATGACTGCCCCTTCTCCAGAATCTGATCGCACTGTAATAGGTCATAAGTTTGTGCACACACTGACACGCTTTTACCACTGCTTGGGGTACCCCCATGGAATTTCAAGAACCCACGCGCGATGTCAAGCTTCAAGAAGTGCAAATTAGACTGCCTCTTGATTGATTAGCTGCTTACTAGCTGGGCTGCTTCTCACAGTGGTGTCGAGTGAGCAAGAATTGAGCCAAGTAGTCATCAAATTCGTGTGCCCAGACTTATGACCTAGTACTGTATCCCCGTAGCAGCACTGGTGGTTGAAAGCTCTGAGGCTCTAATCGTTCGGGTTTGAACCAGCGGTAGACCGCGATCCCCAAGAATGACATCTCTGTCAGCAATCTGAATCTCCTGAGATCATTGGGATTACACACTTTGGTTTCAATCGTAACGTCTTTGCCGCGGGGCCAGCCATCGTCTCGGATCTGTACTTCCTGCATAGACTCAATATCGTAAGTGGGCAGTCTCTGCACGTTTCGAAGATTCTTACCTTCGCAACATCTTCAGCGAAGATCTCTCCAGTAATTTGGGCTTCAAGAGAGGGTAGACCTTCTCCTCCAGCAACTTCGGCCTTCCTAGCAATCTTTTGAGTTGCGTGTTCCTTAGCCATGCTACCTTTTCGGGTCGGAATTCGTTAGTGTTTACACCAGGCGCCAGACACTTCAGCATTCAGGAGCTTACCTTGCCCCTCAAAGATAATGACAATGTACAGAAAGACGTAGGAAACGAGCAACTAGCTAAGAAAGGCCGGCTAGTCGTGGCATCAAAAGTTCTCAGCAAGACGAGAATCAGCGCTGAGCGGGAAGCATTCCTCAGACTGGAGCTAAGTGGGCCACCGCGCTTTTATCCCATTATTTGGGTCTCAGGAGGGCTGTGACGTTGTCCCATTTTTGCCCTCAAGTGTACAGTTAAATCGGCCAGCTTATCGCGCAGACATCAGGCAGGGCAAGAGAAGGCAACTTGCTGCAAGCTCAGTCGTGATGGTCTTCTATTTACTGAGTGGGAAGTTCGCCTTGGATGTGGTAGCAACTTCTTGACGTACGATCCGGGTCTCCAGCGGGAGCCTGAGAGCGGGACAAAAAGATGGTGTTGCCACATCCACGGCTCCCACAGATCTAGTGACTCCCCCGCAAGTTCAAGGATTATAATCTTTGAGCTTGGGTTCTCGACACTCAACGGAAGTACGTCAGCGGCTTGAGATTACTCGAACGACTGCTCATCGCATGCCTGATCAGGATGGAGAGTATGATGGCATTGCGAAATACGGTCGGGCCCCTCATAGTCAGGAAACTATCACGGCATGCCGAAAGCATCACTGCACCATCACCTCTCTTGGAAGGTTGCTAAGGGAAGGGCCTGCTAATCATCCAGCGCCGCTTTTAGATACTTCGGGTCTGGTAGGGGGAAGAGGAAACTGAAATCTGGCGGAATTCGAAAAGTCGTCGACCCTGGAAAACCTCCGTGTGGCAGTTTATGAGTACTCGTGGGATAGTAAGTCAATTCTCTACGCATTTTACAACGATTTGATTATGAGCAGCATCAACGAGGGTTTTGATTGCAATCATCGAAGCATTGGCGGACAGCTGTGAAGGGTTTCAGAGACTTCAGCGCTAATGCTAAGACTAGCCTTGTATT